TCAGCGACACCACTACACTCACGCTATCGGGGAACGGCACTGCAGTCGCGGGGAGGAGTTGCATCCGTTCTGCGGTGGTATGACTCACGGCAAATTGCAGCCGCGGCGCGCACTTGATTGTACGCACTGTATATGGTATTGATTGAATTATTATGGTTATGTAGTTTACTTACTATATGACGGGCGACTCCGTTGTGTAAATGTCTGATCTGATGCAGAGATATATTAAAACTGATTTGAGATGTATGTCGTTATGGAATGCTGCNCATATTATATACACAATGGCTGATGTGTTCAGACACCCGTTGTTGTGTTGTATGTTATTATTTAATATTTGATACCTGGAAATAATATACCNCGTGGGTGGGGTGAGGTGAGTTGGATGTAAGATGGGGGTAAGGTAGTGTTTATATTTGGTAGGTTGCAATTATTGTGTCGAATATTGGGTTANCTGAATTATTATGGTTACATAGTTTACTTACTATTTGATGGGTGACTCCATTGTGTAAATGTCCGATCTGATGGAGGAATTGATTACAAGTGATTTGGGATGTATTCATTATGGAATGCTGTGTGGGTGAGGTGGGGGTGTGGTGGATGTAGGATGGGGGTAAGGTAGTGTTTATATTTGGTAGGTTGCAATTATTGTGTAGAATATTGGGTTAAATGTTTAGGTAAAATCGTTGTTCAACTGGATATTTTGCTTGCTGATTACATATATATGAAATCTTTCATGGGTATTTAACATTCGTCCTTTCTTTCTGATGTACAATATGTCCATAGTTGATCTACTGTTCGATATTTGTGGATAGTGTCTACTATGTGCTGGGTGAATTTGGAATTTTGTCCACTGCTGTTTATGTCTCTTATGTGTTCTTTAAATCTAATTTTGAATGTATGCACAGTTTGTCCTATATATTTCTGTGGACATTTTGCACACTGTAATTGGTAATTCCACTTAAGTTAAACTTATCATTCGTATTTTCATGTATTCTCAATAAGTGTTTGATACTGTTCCTGGTTATAAATGAGATACCAACTTCAGAGTTCTTAAATAATTTACTAATTGTTCTAGTTTCGGGTCCAAAAAAGGTAAAGCTGGTCCAAATTTTCTTGTGCGTATAATTTTTTACAGAGGGTTTCGATATTTACTGTATGGTGTTTTGTGGGTAATTATTATTATTAAGTATTTTTCTAATAATGGTTTCTTCATTGTTCTGTTGCTGTGTGAAAGTTTATATTTATTCATGCAATTGACGAGGAACTTTATTGTGGCTCTTTTATGTTCATATGGATGGCATGAGTCATTGTGAATAACTAAGTCAGTAGCTGTAGGTTTCCTACAAATTCCAAATTGCAAATTATTATGTGTTTGTTTGATGAATAGATCTAAAAAGTTGACTTTGTTGTTTATTTCCTTTTCCATAGTAAATTTAATTTTGGGGTGTATCTTGTTGAATTTGCAAAAGGTATCATCAATAATAGATATGTGAGCATTATAGATGATTAAAATATCATCGACATATCTGTAATAGGCTATTATGTAGCAAAAGTATCTCCTAGAGCTACTTATATGTATTACTGATTGTTGTGTTGTGACAATTTTCAGTAAGAAATAATATATGATACACAACAGGATGCACTCACTGAAAAAGAAAAGGTTTACATTCATTTCTTTATGTCAATGAAAACAACATAGTTTACAGGGTTCAGCAGAAAGTGAAGAAGCAGTAACTTCATTTAAAGGGCAAGCAGAAGATGTGAACTAGATTATATTTTTAATGCAATACAGTGAATAGGATTACATCTTTAAAGTAATGTAGTATTAATTTAGTGTATTTAATTTCAATTGCTACATAGATTTTCAATTCCTTGATTTTAGACTCATTTTCAGTGGTTCCTTCAGAAACGTAAAATCCAGGTTCCACTGTATGCATAACATGGGAATTGTTTGTACGTGTCCGATACAGTATGCATAACATGGGAATTGTTTGTATGTGTCCGATACAGTATCTTATCAGTTACAAGTATAACAGCTGTGTTATTGCCGTTATTTATTTGTAGAAAGTTAATGAAACACATTCATCTCCATCAGTTTATACCACAACACAGTATTTGAAGAATTTATAATATTAGCCATAGGATGCTAATATATGAAGCTAATCTTCTGATTCTTACTGGAAGAAAGGCAGAGATATAGCAGAACTGTTTATTTTTATCTGTATATAGTAGGAAGATGCTAATATATGATAAATATGTGAAGGAAAAGGTGAACCTGTGTTTGCTTAAACATCAGGCGATCAAGATATATGGGCTGTTGAGGTACAGCTCCGCACATTAATGCCCCAGCTATTTTACCCATGGCAACAAAAGCTCCATTACCCATTGGGCAGGAAGCTGGGAGGACCCAAGAGCCAAAGTGGATACTATGGAGATGAGGCAAACCTCTTGCCCTTCCCTCGAATCAAACCTCTGTTCCTTGGTTGTCCAGACCTCTACCTGGTTCCTATAGTGACCGAATTATCCCAGCTGCCATTATCAGCACTTAAAATGAAGAAGACAAGATACTCCAGTACATTTTATATATATGAAAATATAAAAAAATTATTCCTTTTGTTCCTTCTGCCTCTCATGTTAGCATTGGTAAATTTAGTGCATATCATCAGAAACAGGTATCTGGTTGTATATTGTACATACTTTTCCCAGTTGCATATTTATGTAAACTCACTAACTGATAACCCAAGGCTCATAAGCACAGAAAGCTTTGACCACATATTACAAATTTTCCTTCTTTGCTGGGTTGGAAGTTCTCAGTGTTGATAATGAAAATAATGGTTAGATTAGGTTAGGGGTCTTCTGTGTTCTAACAACCTGTGGTTCAGAGAAAAACCAAATATTTTGGCAGATGGCAATCTCTGCTTTGACCCTGAAGATGTAGATGATATGTTCCTCTGAAACATCATACTTTCCCAGAACTACATGGTGTTAGAACTGAGAAAACCATATTCTTTCTTTTTCTCTAGCCTTTTTATGTACAGAATGATGATGATAATGCCACAAATACATACTTATCACCATTCAAAATAACGACAATGGATTGAAATGGAGAGAAATACTGGTAGTATAACAGTATACTATGTTCAGCTACTGAATTATTAAGGAATCAGATTATTCCATAATTATACTGATGCATTAAGAAATAAGAACAAAAAGAAAAAGTCATACTTATGTGGAAGATCCTTCTGTTTTGGTCTTTGCCCATGATCCACAACTTACCTGAGATCAGCTAATGGAAGAAAGTCTACATCAATCAATGGTCTAAGACTGGGCAAGGTGTAGGCAGTGATGTGCCCATTCGAGATATAACACACCAGGCAGACACTATCTGTAACAAAAATCCTCCATATTAAACCTGTACCATCCTTAGATGAATGCCTCCACATTCAACATAAAAAACTGTCATCATTATCATATTATGACATTTCTTACTTCTACCAAATGTGGGAAATTTAATAAAAGATCAGGTAACTTGATCCTCTCAATTTTTGTGTAGCACACGTCATGAAAGACTAAATTAGCAGTGAAAAGGTTAAGTCACTATATGAATATCTCACCCACCTTTCAAAGAAATTATTTCAGCCTTTATCACAAAGTCAGCATCAGTGATTTGTTGCCTGTAGACACAGTTATGGGAAGGTAAGGCCACGACACGTGCTTGCTTTTCTGATGTGAGGACAACAAACTGGCGATCACCAAACTGATCTTGCTGACCACTCAGCGTTGGTGACATACGATTGTTAGAGGTGGATTTTGTAGGTGTCTCTGAAAATACAAACCATGCAGTTATGCATAAACTGTAATCATATTAATTTATATCATGTCCACAAAAGAATATTAGGATTTCAAAGATCTACCAATGTAGGAAGAAATACCGAATTGTGATACAGAAACAATGGTATACTTTCACAACTGAATCAGATAAGAATGAAGCTTCATAATTTATACTCACCACCAAATATTACTGGAATGATAAACTGAAGGAGGATAGATGAATGTGACATGTAGCAAGCATGGGAAGGTAAGAAAGACATACAAAATTTTAGACAGAAAAGGCCAGGTGGTGGGAGATGCAGACATAGAGGAGAAGATAACAAAGAATGAAATTTCAGACTGCATTCAACTGTTTGAGGACAGGGTCCAGCTGCAAGCTCTTTTGAAGGAGGTAATGAACCTTTGGGTTTCATAAACTGCAGGGAATTTCTTGATCAGCTGAGTGGTTACCAGTTTGTCAAGAAAAACTCTGCTCCATGGAGTCAGTTACTAGATAAGACTAGTTCATGTACTGAAAATATGTAAGAAAAGATGAAGCAAGATTGAGCAGCAGCAAGAATGCTACATGAAAGTTCATGGATTAGGGAAATGCAAAGAAACAGAAAATAACCTTTTTGATTACAGTTACAGTCAATATAAAGTATATTATCTCAGTAAGTAGAATGCTGGGTACTAAAGCAGAGGAATGGATTTCTGCAGCTATATTTATGACTCACACATTGTAAAATGAAATCCAGATGCAATGGAATCAAGAAGGCATAGTCCACAGGACAGAAAACAAAGTTTTGTGGTGTAAAAGAAATGAAAGGGTATAGAGGGCAGACAGAAAAACAGTATGAGTAATGTGACATGAGGAATACAGTTAAAGGAAAAGAGCTGGAATGATAAGAAGCTATGACATAAGAAAACAGGAAATCTGTGAAAATAAAAGAGCCAAAAGGACAAGAAAAGGAAGCCGAAATGTTATGCTTCAAAGGATAACAAAAAGATGAAGGTTAATGGTTTGAATCCCAGCCAGGGAATGGCTATCCTGACTGAAGCAATTGCATGTAGTGACCTTGTGGGTTATGACACCAAGTAGTTTACTAATCTTTCAGAAGAACATAACGTCCTTCATCTTCATATTTTACCATGAAGAGAGAGGCAGTAGGATCCTCTGAAACACTGCAACCCACATACCAAAGTACACGCTGCCATAATGCCAAATATGAAAACATATATTTTCAGTACTCTGAATATGTGAAATCTCACACAGAATAAATACTTTGTGGCTTTCCCCAGTCCTTCCAGGCAAGTGCAGGAGTAAAAATATTAACCTTTTGATAATGTTGTATCTTAGCATCCTGTTGCAGTTGTTTACCATCCACCATGCAACAATATAAGGATTTAAAATTCAATGTTTCAAAAATTTCACTGCACTACATGTTTCAGCCTACTCAGCCATCATCTGGGGCACTGAGATTCAAGGGAACTGCTGTGCCTGCCATGCTATTGGAATCAGAACTTGATTTAAATATAATGCATGGGAACAAGAAAATAGTTAATATCTGTAATACAAAATTTCTTGGATTAACATTGGACAATACTTTCTCTTGGAAGATTCACATAGATACAGTCATATGCAAACAAAGTTCAGCTTGTTATACAGTTAGAACAATTAAGTGTTTCTTGTCCCAGGAATCATTGAAGATGGTATATTATTCTTATTTTCACTCAATTATGACTTATGGACTAATATTTTGGGAAAATTCTCATTATATAGAAACAAAATTTTTAGACTACTAAAAAAGCTATTAGATTTATTATGGGGATTAGGGATAGAGACTAATACAGAAAATATTTTAGAGAACTAAAATTACTACCACTAAAATCCCAGTATATATATTCACTTTCACTGTTTGTGATTAATAACAGGTACCATTTTAAAGTAAATTCTGAGGTACACAATATTAATACTAGGACCAAATCTGATTTGCATCATCCATCATCTCATCTGTCAGTTTTTCAAAAGGGAACTTATTATGCTGGGATTAAGGTGTTTAACAGCTTACCTGTTCCAATAAAAGATCTATCCCATAACACAAAACAACTTAAATTGGCCTTGAAAAATTTCTTCTCTTCCCATTCATTTTATATGTTGGATGGATATTTTAAATACAAGATGAACTAAACCTTTCATAATGCTGTTTATATGGTATATTGTATAAAAGACTTTCAATTGATATTGGTATATATTTCTTTAAGAAATGAGCTTAATAGGGTATTAATGTGTAGTTGATGAACTGTACATGTTGGTTAAATTACTGCATTGTATAGTTATGGTTCCTTTTACAAATGTGGCTGTAAGAGGTCTAGTTTCTGTTCTCAGAACTAATGTATGTAAATTGTGACATTTTCTATATCTGATGGCTTTGGTAACCAGTAAGGATCTATGGAAATGAAAATAAAGATACAAGATACATTCACAGATAAATACAAACAAGTGGCATATGCCAAATGAAATGACTAGATTGCCCATTAGACCAAACAGGTGGAACACTTCACACTAGATATAATAAATACATAAGCAATTACTTACAGAAGTAATAATGGCAACTCTGGATATTCAAATCATATATTGAACACAAGTCACACATATGGTACTATAACAGACACAGCGGTTGTCACAAAACAGAGAAAAAAGGAAAACATTGAACACATTAGAAAAATACCATATACAGGGTGTCCCAGGAGGAATGTGCCAAACTTCGGGAGGGTGTTCCTTATGTTAAAGTATGCCGATATAACCCAAAACACCTATGTCCAAAGTTGAACGGTTACGGTGATAATGGCCCGAGAAAAGTGTGGTCTTCTTGCAGGTCCACGCACTATACGTACCTGTCAGCTGAGACCCTTATCTGTTTGTCCTTGAGTGCCGCGAGTCACACTAGCGTAAGCTCATGCGCTGCCTACAGATTAGTTTGCTGTGGGGTCGTGAATGGGTGGTAAATTAGTTGTGTGATGAGTTGCTGAAATGCCTTTTGTGTTTTCACACGTCGAGTATTGTGATATGCATTTTGTGTATGGATTTTGCGGTGGCAATGCACGTGCTGCTGTTGAAGAGTACCAAAGGCGTTTTCCCGATCGAAGGATTCCATCTCGAAGTGTATTTACGCGAATTCACCAGACATTGCGTGAGACTGGTTCTCTTCCGAGTGTTTCTGTGCAGTCGGAAAGGGAGGATGTACAAATGAGAAACACACGAGAGAACATTCTTCGCATGATTGATAGAAGTCCGCGTCTCT